AGAGATTCTGATGGGTGAGTCTCGGCTCTGTCGCCCCAGGCTGGGTGCCAGTGCGCAAATTCTCGGCTCACTGCAAGGCTCCACCCTCCTGGGGTTCATTGACGATTCTCCTGCATCAGCCTTCCAAGTAGCTTGGGACTACAGGTGGCCCGCTCACATGCCTTGGTGCTAATTTTTAGTATTTTTTGAGTAGTAGAGACGGGGGGTTTCACCTTGTTAGCCAGTATGGTCTCAATCTCCTGACCTCGATTGATCCGCCGCCTTCAGCCTCGCCAAAGTGCTGGATTACGAGGCGTGAGCCACCGTGCCCGGCTGGGAGTGTTTCTTTCAACCTAACAGCAACTATGAAAATAAGGTTACAATACACTATTGAGGGAAGCGATTCCTTCTCTTATCGCTATATTAAGTTAACTGGGGCTTGGAGAAGTTTCTCTAGTAGTGGGTACCACTAAGTGGTGCCTCTGCCTGTTTCCACACATTCACCCTGTTCAGTGAGAAACACTCACGCATCCCTTGGCGATCCAGCTAGTCAGTCCGCCTCTGCCTCCGGAAACACTGTTGTTGTACTTCTCTTGAAGTCACGCTTTGTGTGTTGTAAGCCATTCTGGCTCGTGTAACTGTGAGCTTCATCAAAAGATGGACGGCATTCCTGTCTTTTACTTCCTGTGTAGGACGGGGGTCAGGGCCTTTAGTGTGAAGTCTTGGCTTATATGGACAGTTCAGGCCATTCCAAGTTCAAAAGGAGCCAGGTTCAAGTTGGGAAGCCTGGCTTTGAATCCAAATCTTTTTTTTTTTTTTTTTTTGCTAATAAGCAGGGCATTTAGCAAGGGCATTTGTATATGTAACCTCTTGACATGTCATTGTGTGTGTCACTGATACGGAACTGATAACTGTCTAACTCTATTTTTGTTCTTTCCCCTCAAAAGGATGGGAAGTATAAAGAATGGGAAAGAACTTGGGGGAAGGGCAGCACAGCACCAGTGGTATGTAGATCACAGGCCCCTGATTCGACAGATAGTACTGTGGACTCAAGTCCTGGCTCCTGTTCCTCTCACCAGAGCAAACTGGGGCCAGAAGGTCACTTTACTCCGCCAAGCCTCAGTTTGCTTTCCGTCTACTGAATGTTTAATTGTGGTAGTACCTACGTCACCAGGTCTTTGTGAGATTTAGCACAATGGGCGCCAGCACCAGGGAAAGCACTCTCTGTGTTTTACAATGTTTAACATGGAGTGTGTTGTTGATGGTTTGTTTGCGGGTGACCCCTGTGCTCTTTACCCTCCGCAGTAAAAGTACCACGGCAAACCCTGCCCTCTTTCTCTTTTTGGCAGAGGAAGTGTGGATCCCCTCATGTTTGGTCGATTCAGGAACATGTGCAACTGCAGTGGGTCCTCAGTCCAGGTAGGAAGCACATTGAAATTGGCCATACAGTCCGTGTTTAAAAACCTGCTCTTTAGCCAGAGCGCTGTTGGCTCATGCCTGTAATCCGAAGCATTTGGGAGGCCCGGAGGCGGGCAGATTCAAAGAAAGTCAAGGAGATTAGAAGGCTGGGCACAGTGTGCTCACACTTGTAATTCCAGCACTTTGGGAGGCCAAGGGGCAGGCGGATCACAGGAAGGAAGGAAGGAAGGAAGGAGAAAGACAGACAGACTGACTCCCAGAAATCCCCTTGGAAGACAAAAGAATCGTTATTTAATTTGAGTAATTATAATTAGCCCCTGGTTTATTTGCTTTAAGTCTGGATTTTCACGTATTAGGATCCATGACTTTAAAGAGGACACTCTGGTAGTATGTTCACTATCAATCTCTGCTCTATGAACAAATGGCTTCTACATAGAAGAGAAAGGAAAAAAATATCCAAGCTCATTAAGAAAGAGACAATGTCCGCGGTGGCTCACGCCTGTAATCCCAGCACTTTGGGAGGCTGAGGCGGGCGGATCACAAAGTCAGGAGATCAAGACCATCCTAGCTAACACGGTGAAACCCCCGTCTCTACTAAAAATACAAAAAATTAGCTGGGCACGGTGGCGGGTGCCTGTAGTCCCAGCTACTTGGGAGGCTGAGGCAGGAGAATGGCATGAACCCAGGAGGCGGAGCTTGCAGTGAGCTGAGATCACACCACCGCACTCCAGCCTGGGCGACAGAGCAAGACTCCGTCTCAAAAAAAAAAAAAAAAAAAAAAGAAAGAGACAACGTCTCTAAAAAGGTATCCCAATCTTCTCTCATGGCCCCTCTGGTTTCAGAGCCTGTGCTCTTAACCACTATGCTATATTGACTGAACACAATTCCCTAAGAAAGCTTGAGGGCACTAATTTTCAATGAGAAAAACAGAGCAGATCAGATCCTCACTCCTGAAAGAGACTTAAGAAATTTGTCTAGTCCAGTGGTTCCCAAATTGCTGGCTGTTGTACAAACAGGAGCTCATTAAAAAGTATAAATTTTGGGCTGGGCATGGTGGCTCACGCCTGTAATCCTAGCACTTTGGGAGGTCGAGGGCAGATCACTTGAGGTCAGGAGTTCAAAACCAGCCTGGCCAACATGGTGAAACCCTGTCTCTACTAAAAATGCAAAAAAATTAGCCAGGCGTGGTGGCAGGCGCCTATAATCCCAGCTACTTGGGAGGCTGAGGCAGAAGAATCGCTTGAACCCAGGAGGCGGAGGTAGCAGTGAGCCGAGGTTGCGCCACTGCACTCCAGCCTAGGTGACAGAATGAGACTCCATCTCGAAAAATAAATACATAAAAATAAAAAATAAAAAATAAAAATTTCAACCAGGCACGGGGGCTCATGCCTATAATCCCAGTACTTTGGGAGACTGAAGCAGGAGGATCACTTAAGCTCAGGAGTTCAAGACCAGCCAGGGCAACATGATGAAACCCCATTTCTACAAAACATATCACAATTAGCTGAGCGTGGTGGTATGCACCTGTTGTCCCAGATACTCAGGAGGTTGAGGTGGGAGGATCACCTGTGCCTGGGTGGTCAAGGCTGTAGTGAGCCATGACTGTGCCACTGCACTCTAGCCTGGGCGACAAAATGAGATCTTGTCTCTTACACACACACCAAAGAAAAACTAAAAAATACATACATTTCTAGGTCCAACCCTGGAAACTCTTTTTTGGAGACAGCCTCACTCTGTCACCCAGGTGGGAGTGCAGTGGCACGATCTTGGCTCATTGCAAGCTCTGCCTCCCAGGTTCAAGCGATTTTCCCACCTCAGCTTCCCGAGTAGCTTAGACTACAGGTATGTGCCATCATGCCTGGCTGATTTTTGTATTTTTGTAGAGACAGGGTTCTGCCACGTTGGCCACCCTGGTCTCGAAATCCTGGCCTCAAGCAATTCACCAACTTCAGCCTCCCAAAGTGCTGGGATTATAGGCGTGAACCACTACGCCTGACCAACCACAGCTTTTTCTTTTTCTTTTTGTCACCTAGGCTGGAGTGCAATGGTGCAATCCCAGCTCACTGCAGCTTCTGCCTCCTGGGTTCAAGCAATTCTCTTGCCTTAACCTCCCAAGTAGCTGGGACTACAGGCGAGCATCACCAAGCCCAGTTAATTTTTGTATTTTTTTAAGTAGAGATGGGGTTTCACCTTGTTGGCCAGGCTAGTCTTGAACTCCTGGCCTTAAGTGATCCACCCTCCTCGGCATCCCAAAGTGCTGGGATTACAGGCCTGAGCTACTGCGCCCGGGCCAACCACAGCTTTTTCATCAGAATAAACCAGGAAGATACCTCACCTGGATTGATGATCTCATCATCCTCACTGAATGTCACCCGCGAGTTCTTCCTCTTCCTCTTTGGTCTTTGAATGTCCAGATTTCCCTCCTCAATGGTAAGGGTAGAAATCCGCTTGTTGTGGGCAGTGTTGAACTCTGTCAGGTTCTAAGCCAAGGTTCATACAGGAAAGACAGCAGTCAGTACAAAGGGAATCTGATGGAGAAAATCATACTAAATAAAGGTCAGGAAGACGTGAGGGGCTAATCTTGACCTCCAAAGGGAGTTGAGACTCTTCTGCATTTAGAGAAGATTATACTGTCCTGAGACTACTAATACTAACAAGTCTCAAGTCTCATTAGAAAGAATGTGGGACATCCTCATTGACTAGTGGGGCAGTGATATTCAAAAGAAGGTAAAGGGCCTCGAGCTGAGAACAGGTCATCTGTGCAAACACCCTTGAGTTGTGTTTTGTTGCTGTTGTTGAAGAAAGGCTATCATGTCTTCATGCCCACAAGCAGCTGAGAATTAAAAGGAAATGTGGCTGGGAGGAATGCCAAGAATTGTTTTTAAGTAACAAAATTGAGATGAAAAAGGACAATTGGCTGTTTCTTTTCTAGTAGCTTTCTCCTTTAAAATTAAGGACACTGCTAGTGCACTTAATTTTTGGCGTTAATATTTTGTCATTCCCCATCCTGTGTCTGGCCCCAGTTCTATAAATAACTATCTCAATAATTAACTTGACCTTAGCTCTGGTGCTTGCCTCTTCCCAATCCACTGAAATTATTCCTTTCTGGTACAAACCACCAGTTTGAGATACTCTAAATGTCTTAAGAATGAAGATCCAGGGAGTACCTAACATACTGAACTAAAAGCCATGGAAGCACAGCAGCAGCCTGGATAGAGGCGGCCTCAAGGGGAAATGGGCAACAGTGACTGCCAGCAAGGTCCCTAGCTATGAAGCCACTTCTTCAAAACAAAACGACTTCTTAATTGTACAATTTCTTTTTTTTTTTTTTTTTTTTGGAGATGGAGTATCACTCTTGTTGCCCAGGCTGGAATGCAATGGCACAATCTTGGCTCACCACAACCTCCACCTCCTGGGTTCAAGCGATTCTCCTCCTCAGCCTCCCGAGTAGCTGGGATTACAGGCATGCGCCACCACACCCAGTTACTTTTTTGTATTTTTAGTGGAGACAGGGTTTCTCCATGTCACTCAGGCTGGTCTCGAACTCCTGACCTCAGGTGATCCGCCCACCTCAGCCTCCCAAAGTGCTGGGATTATAGGCGTGAGCCACTGTGCCCAGCCTAAATTGTAGAATTTCTATTGTGCTTTTCTTCCTAAGAGCTAGGAAACTGCCTTGGTGTACAGGAATAGTAAATGCGGGTCGGTGGTTAAGGACATGATTGCATTTGGTCTATCTGAACAGACCAATCACACCAGTGCAGTGACAGACATGTAAAGGACTATAGCCACACCAAACTACTGGGGTCAGCCTCAAAAAGGAAAACTTCCACCACCTTAAAATTAAATCTTATAAAATTCATGGCCCTCAGGACAGCGAGGCCCATAAGAACAAAAGCAGTCTGGTTCTATTCAGAAGATTCCTGAGCTGTTCAGATAGCACCAAAAAAAGCTATATAAATGAATGAAAGTGTCAGTCTCTCCAAGCCAGTGCTGTCTGACAGAACTTTTTGTGAGGATGAAAACATTCTCTCTTTACACTACGCAACACGGCAGCCACTAGCCTTATGTGACTACATAATACTTGAAATATTGTTAGTGGCTACCACCTTGGTCAGCATTAGCTCTAAGCAGTCAAGGGACAGAGAAATGTAGCTTCTAGTCTTAGCTTGTAACAGTCAGTGAAAGTGCACAAAACAGCTCAAGAGGTCTAGTGGCTGTGACCCAGCCTCCCTGTTAGGCCTGGTGATACACAACCAAATCCATACAATGTGGCTCTCTGAGAGGTGTCACACCTGGCCACATCAGATTGCCAAAGGCCCATTACTGGACTCAAGAGAACCCCTGCTGCTAAGTCAATGGCATTTCCAGCTACATAGAACAGCTATATACTCCAAAAACCAGGGTCCCCAAAGACAAAACAATGACATAAACAGGGAATTACATCAAGCTCAGTTTCCTCCTCTGGAAGCCCCAGTAAGCCCTTGAGTTCATCATCCTCTCCACCCATCTTCTCATCTCCTTTCACAGCCGATGGCAATGTCTGAGGCTTCTCGCGCAGAGTGTATGCCCTTGTGGATGCGCCAAATGAGACCGTGGAATCGATGGGAATTTGCTGAGGCTTGTGAGGTTCCAACCGAATGTGACCCAAGAAAGTGCCGTGTGCTGGGAACAACCAAATCAGAAACGTAAGGGGGAAAACAAAAACAACCCGAGTTTTAGAAGGGAGAGTATGATCGCCAACTCTCTTATGAGGTCAGCTTCCCCCCAGCACATCAGTTTTGCCTTTTTGTCTGTTTTTAATTTATTTTAAAAATGCCATAGTCAGGATCGTGGTCAGAAAACTCCAGCTTTTTAAAAAACGAAAATGGCACCGGGTCCACCACATCCATCATGTGTCACAGTGAGAAGGAAACTCCTTCACTGAGCCTTGAATCTCCTCAGTGGGTTTCTTATATCCTCAGACCTGTTGTTCCCCCAAATAACAAATACCACTGCCCGTTCTCTGCTGCCACACAGGCTTGGCTCCATTCTAGGTCAAACAAGAATGGCTCCAACCCAGCAGAAGCCATGCCTCCCAAAGCAGGAGCTGGGCTTCACTGTAGTTTTCCCTCTCCAGCCCCAAGTCAAAGGAATAGAGAAACTGCTGGCCTGGTGGCAGTTATGCTTAGGTTTTCCCCAGGACAAGAAAGAGCTTGGCTGAAACAGGTGCAATATCAATGCCAAAGCAAGCCAAAATCCTACTATAGATTCTGAATATTTTCCCCTGTTGGCATTCTGCATGTTATAAAATGGGAGAGAAAAGATAAGTATTTGCGAGACAAAGCTCTCCAAGACCGTTACACAAGCAGATGAGGGTGATGTGCGAGTGTATGTTTGTGTGTGGTAGTAGCAGAGTGGTGGAATCCAACATGATATTCCCAGGAAGCAGGACCCTTTACATTTTACACTGTATTCACACATGGGCAAAATGAACAAATTTCAGGGCCCCATGCAGTTAAAGCTCAATTGCATTTCTGTGGATTATCTACGTGAAGTTTAAACTCTTATTAATTGGTGTATGCTTATGGATACTCCAATTAATTAATACTTATGGATTATTTTTATTTTTTGAGGCAGGGCTTACTCCGTCACCCAGACTGGAGTACAGTCGTGCTACAATGGCTCACTGCAACCTCCACCTCCTGGGCTCAAACAATCCTCCCACTTAAGCCCCCCAAGCAGCTGGGACCATAAGCGCACTCCACAATACAGGGCTAATTTTTTGTATTTTTTGTAGAGACGGGGGTCTCGTTACATTGCTCATGCTGGTCTTGAACTCCTGGGCTTGAGAGATTCACTGACATCAGCCTCCCAAAGTGCTGGGATTACAGGTGTGAGTCACCATGCCTGGCCTTGCTTATGGAATTAAAATTGGTATTATTCATAGTCAAAACAAAACAGAGACGGAATAAAGAACCAGAATAATGAAATTTTCCTCAAGATAAGCATTCTTAAAATGCCCTATATTGCTGCTCTATTACATTAATGGAGCTAATCATAGCTTCTGCTTAAACGGAATCACAATTTATTATGGTTCTATAGACACTTGAACATGCATGGTCGATAGTGCCTGGGTGCCTTTTTCCTTTTCTTTTTTTTTTTTTTTGAGACAGAATCTTGCTGTGTTGCCCAGGCCAGAGTGCAGTGGCGCGATCTCGGCTCATTGAAACCTTCACCCCCTGGGTTCAAGCGATTCTCCTGCCTCAGCCTCCTGAGAAGCTGGAATTACAGGCACCCGCCGCCACCCCCAGCTAATTTTTGTATTTTTGGTAGAGGCGAGGTTTCACCATATTGGCCAGGCTGGTCTCAAACTCCTGGCCTTAGGTGATCCGCCCACCTCGGCCTCCCAAAGTGCTGGGATTATTTATAGGAGTGAGCCACTGCACCCAGCTCTTTTTTGTTTGTTTGTTTGTTTTTTGAGAGAGTCTTGCTCTGTCACCCAGGCTGGAGTGCAGTGGCGCGATCTCGGCTCACTGCAAGCTCTGCCTCCCGGGTTCACACCATTCTCCTGACTCAGCCTCCCGAGCAGGTGGGACCACAGGCACCCACCACCAAGCCCAGCTAATTTTTTTGTATTTTTAGTAGAGACGGGGTTTCACCGTGTTAGCCAGGATGGTTTCGATCTCCTGACCTCGTGATCCGCCCACCTCGGCCTCCCAAAGTGCTAGGATTACAGGCGTGAGCCACCGCGCCTGGCCTGTTTCTTTGTTTTTAAGAGATGGGGTCTTGTTCTGTCACCCGGACTGGAGTGCAGTGGTGTGATCACAGCTCACTGCAGTCTTGAACTCCTGGGCTCTAGTGATCCTCCCGCCTCAGCTTCCTGAGTAGCTACAGGTGTGCGCCCCCACACCCAGATCATATTTGCTTATTGATGCCCCCAGGACAGCTCCCCAAGCCCCTCTTCTCTCCACAGTCAGTTATCAATTATCTCAGGAAAACAGAAAAATCACAGAAATAGAGAAGGGTGGATTTAAAAACCAAATATTAACTTTTTCCATAAAACATAATTTCCAAACTAAAGAACCCAAAGAGCATTTTCATATTGCCCAAAGATAACATGTGAATTGGGAGGGAGTTACTTACTACTGTTGAGATCTATCAGGAAAACTCTCTTCAGATGCTTGTGGTAGACAAGTGCAGCATGGACCCGAGAGCAAGACTGGTGGTCAATGGTAAAGTCACACAAATCAGGGTTTCTCCCAAATAAGTAATACTTCTTCTCATCAATAATCAGTTTCTAAATAAATATTAAATTAAATATTACTTAAATCTTGTTTCAACAGCATTTACCAAAAACTCTTCCAATCAAATAGAGAATCTTGATAAAATTCCTTTCCATTAGATTGATTTGAGTAATAACTCCATCTCCTTGTATCAAAAAAAGGAAAATCCATTCCAAGGAGAAAAAAATATCTCCCGTTATTCTTCAACATAAAGCACTCAGAATAATTTACTAAAATAACATTTTTTTGGAGAATGGATGGTAATGGATGGTAATTCATCTCCTCAATATTAATTGTCTAGTGTTGGTATGAAAATAACTTCTCTTTCTCTTTTTTGTTTCTGAGATGGAGTCTCGCTCTGTTGCCCAGGCTGGAGTGCAGTCGCACGATCTCGGCTCACTGCAACCTCTGCTTCCTGGGTTCAAACAATTCTCCTGCCTTAGCCTCCCAAGTAGCTGGGACTACAGGCGTGCACCACCAAGTTCAGCTAATTTTTTTTTTTTTTTTTTTTTTGAGACAGAGTCCCACCCTGTCACCCAGGCTGGAGTACAATGGTGTAATCTCGGCTCACTGCAACCTCCACCTTCTGGGTTCAAGCAATTCTCCTGCCTCAGCCTCCTAAGCAGCTGGGATTACAGGTGCATGACACCATGCTAATTTTTTGTATTTTTAGTAGAGATGGGGGTTTTACCATGTTGGCCAGGCTGGTCTCGAACTCCTGACCTTATGATCTGCCCATCTCGGCCTCCCAAAGGGCTGGGATTACAGGCGTGAGCCACCGAGCCCGGCCTAATTTTTGTATTTTTAGTAGAGACGGGGTTTCATCATACTGGCCAGGTTGGTCTTGAACTCCTGACCTCGTGATCTGCCCACCTCAGCCTCCTAAGTGCTGGGATTACAGGTGTAAGCCACCGTGGTCGGCCAACCTTTTTTTTTTTGAGACAAAATCTCGCTCTGTCGCCCAGTCTGGAGTGCAATGGCGTGACCTTGGCTCACTGCAACCTCTGCCTCCCAGGTTTAGGCGATTCTCCTGCCTCCCGAGTAGCTGGGACTACAGGCACGTACCACCACGCCTAGCTAATTTTTTGTATTTTTAGTAAAGACAGGGTTTCATTGTGTTAGCCAGAATGGTACTGATCTCCTGACCTCATGATCCGCCCGCCTCAGCCTCCCAAAGTGCTGGGATTACAGGGGTGAGCCACCGCGCCCGGCCTGAGATCAACAATTGAATTGTGCCCGGCCTGAGATCGACAATTGAATTAAGAGTGGCTGGCTTCTGAAAAAAGGTTCTGTTGGATCTTAATTTTAGATCAATTAGGAAACAAGAAGCACAATGCATGTCTATAAAGGAACAAGATTGCTTTTAGCCTAGTGAAACTGAAAAAAATGTAGTAAGATTGCTTCTCAGAAAATATTCAAATGTGTATTTGGGAAAGGAATGAAGCGTAAACACCTATTTCTATTCTAATCATGCTGCTATAGCCCCAAAGTATTTTTGTTTGTTTTTGAGACAGTCTTATTCTGTTATCCAAGCTGGAGTGCACTGGTGCAATCTCAGCTCACTGCAGCCTCCACCTCCCAGGTTCAAGCGTTTCTCCTACCTCAGCCTTCTGAGTAGCTGAGATTAATGGCGCCCACCACCACACCCGACTAATTTTTGCATTTTTAGTAGAGATGGGGTTTCACCATGTGAAACCAGGCTGGTCTCGAACTCCTGACCTCAGGTGAACTGACAGCCTCAACCTCCCAAAGTGCTGGGATTACAGGTGTTAGCCACTGTGCTACACCTGAGCTGAATTTAGCTTTATAAAAAACTTGCTGGCCAGGCGCAGTGGCTCACATCTGCAATCCCAGCACTTTGGGAGGCTGAGGCGGGCGGATCACGAGGTCAGGAGATCAAAACCATCCTGGCCAACATGGTGAAACCCCGTCTCTACTAAAAATACAAAAAATTAGCCAGGCGTGGTGGCAGACGCCTGTAGTCCCAGCTACTCGGGAGGCTGAGGCAGGAGAATGGCATGAGCCCAGGAGGCGGAGCTTGCAGAGAGTCAAGATCTGCACTCCAGCCTGGGCGACAGAGCGAGACCCTGTCTCACAAGCAAAAACAAGCAAACAAAAAAATAAAAATAAAAAACTTGCTATACCTGTCCTTATATTTCTTTTAATCCTGGATCTGTAAAGCCTTTGCCACAGATCGGTTATAAACTGGACTGTTACAGATGAAGGACTCTAGATGAATTATTGCTAACGCTTCTTCCACTGCTAGTGGTCTAGTAATCTAGTGTGAGCACTTGAGGAATAACTGTCATTTGAGTATGCTGTGTTTTTCCTTTAAATATGAGGTCTCATTAGACTCTAGTTCACATTTCACACTATACTCCTAAAATTCCTGAGAAAATATAGCACAAAGCTAAGTAAAGTATAGTCAAGTTAGTACCAGGCTGGGAATCAAGAAGCTTGTATTTCATTCCTGGCTAAGTCCTTTAACTCATAATGGGCTACTATTCTCGCCTTATAAAACCAAAAGATACACCTCATGCAAGCACACTTTCAACACTGATTATAGTAACAACTGCTAGGCGCTTCTATGCCACACACTATGCTATGAGTTTGACGTTATATCATTTCATCCTCACAACCACCCTATGAGGTGGGTAACACTATTCTCTTCCTATTTTTATAAATGACAAAATTGAAGCATAAAGAAATTAACATACTCAAGTTCACACAGTTAGATACTTGTGGGCTGGGTTAGAAATTCAGATTTGTCTGGCTTCAGAGTCTAAGCTGTTTTAACCACTACATTATATATTTTCTTCATTCTGCTTACATCAAAAAATGCACCATATGGCAAGGAATATTTTAAGAAGAGAATAAGTACTGTGGGTCACACTCTTTCCTTAAACAATCACTTAGCCAGTTTCTTTCAAGTTCAGCCTTAAGGTTCAATTAATTCAGGCTAGCTTGGATATGTGGGTCACCTCTGGGAAACCCTATCTAACAGTGCCCATCTGCTGCTGGAAGAGCTTGTTCTGGGCCCATACTACTATGGGGAACCAAGATTTAACAACAGCCTGACAGGAGATCAGTCAGTCCCCTTCATCTCTGCTTTGACCCAAGGTTTTTAAGACTTGAGTTAAAAATAAGACATTATTTCAGGATTAAGAGAGAGCCCAGAGATTTCAACTTGTTCTAATAGCTATTCGAGCTGAATCTCATTGCACTTCTCATTCATATTTATATGCACATGGATTATACTGTCACAAACTTAAATTTGCTAACCACAGTGCTCACAGATTGGGCTGAAGGAACATGAAAGACCACCAGCTCTTGGGCTCTAAAATAACAATGACTAAATTTCTATGAATCTAGGGTGCCAATAGACATACTAGAGATTTAGGGATTTGAGAGGAAAAAAGAGAGGGCCTCCAAATTAAATGTACACATTCAGTATTAAAGGCATCCCAATTTTTTTTTTTTTTTTTTTTGAGACCGAGTCTGGCTCTGTGGCCCAGGCTGGAGTGCCGTGGTGCGATCTCAGCTCACTGCAAGCTCCGCGTCCTCCCGCGGTTACGGCCCCATGTTCCTGCTCAGCCTCCTGAGTAGCTTGGGAGCTACAGCGGCACCCGCCACCACGCCCAGCTAATTTTTTGTATTTTTAGTAGAGACGGGGTTTCACCTTGTTAGCAGGATGGTCTCGATCTCCTGACCTCATGATAGCGCCCCGTCTCGGCCTCCCAAAGTGCTGGGGATTACAGGCTTGAGCCACTGCGACCTGGCCGGCATCCCAATTACAGAAATGTTAAAATGAATTATTTTTTTTTTTTTCCTGAGATGGAGTCTTGCTTTGTTGCCCAGGCTCAAGGCAGTGGTGTAATCTCCATTCACTGCAACCTCTGCCTCCTGGGTTCAAGTGATTCTCCTGCCTCAGCCTCCCAAGTAGCTGGTATTATAGGTGCGTGCCACTGCACCTGGCTAATTTTTTAATTTTTAGTAGAGACGGGGTTTTGCCATGCTGGCCAGGCTGGTCTTGAACTCCTGACCTCAGGTGATCTGCCCACCTCGGCCTCCCAAAGTACTGGGAGGCCAGGCGTGAGCCGCCACTGAGCCTGGCCAAAATGAACGGAATTTTAACAGAAAACAGTATGTCTCAGAACCAAGGAAATGTGTCAGATGTTGAACAATGTGCTGCTTCTGTCCAAGTGAGTGAAATAATGCACTGGCTTTCAACAGTCACTAAAGCCATAGCTTCTTGACTAGCTATGGCCAGTACCGCTATCCAGTTGTGCCTCTGAGTTATAACTCAGAGTGTATCTTTACACACTGGGCTTAAAAGACTCATGGCTTTTGTTTTAATGTTGCACTTCTTAAACCCAGCTATCACAACACATCACAAGCCTTTGATACAAAGCTAGGATACAGATAGCTAGGTTAGTATCAAGTGCTGATTAAGCTTAAATCTAAAAATAAGCACATCTCAGGTCTACACCTCTCAAGAATATAGTGATGTCTGAGGATTGTAACTTGACAAGTTTGTGGCAACTCAGCACACTTAACAACACCGAAAGAGAATGTTATCAGCTAATAGAAACCACTGATCAGGGGAATGTCTAGCAAGTTAGAGTGTTTTGAAAATATAATACCAATTATTCCACAAAGGAATGTGATGTTATCATTAAGACTAGGCAACCCTGTCTGTTTCTTCCTGTTGCAAACTAAAGATTTGCTAAATTCTAGTAATAAAACAAATCTCTATATGTCTTCAAGCTTTGTGCTATTTAGCAACAAATATTTTGTAACTGTGGAACAATCCGTAGTAAAAAAAAGTTTTACAGATATTTTAGCTAAATTATTTCTTTGAATAATCTTGAAGTTTTAAATCTTTAAGATTGAAGAACCCATGACAAAGTGGCTCTCTGTGACTGGCTGAGTCCATGATGTACTCATAACAGGAGAAATCATTAAAACTCATGCATGCCTTAATACTTTGCAAAATACCTGGTCATCTCTACAAAATCCCAAAAGTGACAACAATATATTTACAGAGTAACCTTCAAAAGATCTCAGATAGCTTTTCAATCTAGCAACCATGGAACTGCAACATTTTTATTAAATACCAAAAAACCACAAGGAAAAAACTGCATTCAATAATGGGGCCTTGAACCTAAATTCTAGCTGAGCAAGCAAATATAAAATTGGTCTAATACAGGGAGACTCACAGCTACATGGTCATGGTGGGCTTAATATCCATCTCTTGGTAAATAAATAATACCATAAGGATTATAAAAAATTTACGCAAACTAATAGCTAATAAAAACTCATGTTCTCTTGAACTCCTATGTGGTGTTCTCTCTAGAGGCTTGTATAAAAGCTGGAACTCTGCTAAACTTTTATAGTACTTAATTCAAATATAACTATGTAATTTTTTGGTGTGATTCTGTCTCTTCCAATGGACGACTTGAGGAGAGAAATCATGTTGGTTTCGCTTACTGCTGCAATCTGTAAGCCAAGCACTGTAACTGGCACATAGTAAACACTCAATACATGTTTTCAAAGAATCAATTAATGAATTTCACCACAATTCCATTATCTTTTTGAGTAAGTGTCTTCTCAGTTTACCATATTTCTTATAAGGAGTTGGGCCTGAATCTCTTAAAATTAACTTAAAAGTTAAACTCAACATATATCATTCACTTTCTTCAGTTACTGCATACCTTGCACGGTTTACACAACTCCATGTACTCAGGGAGAGGGAATTAACCAAGCTAACAGGGCTTCCAGTTTGACTGGGGCCCACAGGACCCATGACCTATTAAAACCATTCATTTGAGAGAAGTCACAAAAAAGTGAGTGTCTGTGGTAGATACAAGCTTTAAGTGTGTGATGTCACCATGTGCTTTTAACAGAAAAAAAAATCAGGATGAAAGAAAGTAGCATTGCTGGAAAACAAAGCACAGGAGAGGGGGTGGAAAAGTGAGTCACTGGCAAAAATCTTTAGTGTGGTGGGCAAAAAAGGAAGACATGTATTTCCATACCTCAATTAGTTTGTCTCCTTTGACTACATCCAGATGTAAACCGGGAGGGGGCTTACCTGCCCTGAAAAATAAAAATAGAAAAAAGCATTTTCAGGATGAGTTTATAAATGCAATTTACAATCATTGTCCCATTCAACATTGCAGCTCTTCTACCAGCCAGCCTATAATTAGTTCATGTTCAAGCAGAAATGTCATCCACTTCACTGTTATTACAGCTCCATTCTACGTTTGACACTTACTTCCCTAGTGATTCAACTGCTCTGAAACAGATTTTAGTGGATCTGTATTTAGAGCAGCACCAAGAAACCTATATTTTAACACTGGATCTTCACCTCAGAGAAAGAGCTGCATAGAGAGTGTAAGTACGACAGCTGGAGTGGTCTGGTCACCTGGAGTTTGAATCTGAAATTTACCCCTACTCCAATATCATATAAAGATCGAATAAATGAGTTGCTGTTTGGGGTTGATCAAGATTAGTCTCATCACAGAGTAAGGAGAGTACTGTCCTGAGCTCTGAGACCAAATCAGAGGTGCATAATTAGGGAACTAGGGCAATTCAAAATCATGCCCCATGAAACCAGGTACCAAATGAATATGTTACCCTTGAACAGGTCTTTCTACAACAGCATGATTAAGGGAAGTTTCCTCTATACTCCTACAGCCATATCATTCAAGGGAGACTCACATATGTCAAAGCACCTAACAGTGCCTGGTACCTACCAGACCCTAGGGAAAGGGTAGGTGATCTCAAAGCAGTGCTTTCTAACTACGTTTGCTGTATTGGTCCAAGTTTGAAATCAATACAGCGAGGGATCAAAACGGATATAGAATTTGTAGACTGAAGCAACCATTACAAAAGTGCAAAGCGATCCAAAAAATAGCCACACATTTGCTTGCTTTTTGGGTTTGCTAATTTGAAGTTAGAAAAAAGAACCACCTCACTAGAACCTCTAGATTTGCACACGAAAAAAACGTATCCTTGTCTAGCTAACTGAAGATGCAACACAGTCATCTCAAACAATCCTGCCCCAACCCCTCCTCTATGGAAAGGACAGTGCACCGGACAAAAGGCCATTTTGTCCACGAAAAAGGAGGAATGTTACATCCAAAATATACTTTCTGTATGTGCCTGACTCAGGCCTTGGAGCTGGGAATACAAAGATGCAGTCTTTGCCCTTGAGGATGGCAATATAACGGGAGACAGAGACAAGTAACAATACACTGCGATGAGCTACAGCAGAAAAAAACTCTTAATTTCAGAAGCGTTTCCTTGTAAGGTAATCCATATTTATTCAACTTGTACCCTACTCAAAGGCCAAATTATTTCATTATTCCCAAGAACTTTCGAAGGGATAAAAAGGGTTCATGCCAGCCATTACTAATGCCTACTCGTGCCACAGACTGGGAGCTCCCTGAGGGCAGGGAGGGCGCTAACCTACCCTCGTGTTCTCTGTGGCAGACAGAAAAGTGCCGCACGAGGGATGCAGCAACCAAAGGGGGATGCGGGGCTCAGACGTAGGGTTGGGGCAGGGGCTGGCTCGAGAGCGCTCGGGACGTACAGGAAGGGGCCAGGTACGATGCTCCATGAGAGCACCAGGCACTCAGTCAGGAGTTGGGCGTAAGTTCGGGCAAAGGCCTCAAAGCGCTCCAGCGACTGGCTAATCGCTCAAAGGGGCCGCCTAAGTGAGCGCCTTTGAGCCCCCAACCCCGTGTTTCTTCAGTTCCTGGGCCTGGGCTCCAGGCTCTCGGTTCTTCAACACGTCGCCCGGCCCGGTGCAGCGAACAGTTTTTCCTCAACCATTCCAGGGTTTCTGAGCCGTTCGGCTCGCAGCAGAAAAGTAAAAAAAGAGCCGCCCTTCCAGCCCAGGCTAGCTCCGGCCAGGCCACTCTAGCCCTGGCCGCCCCGCCACTCACCAGGTTGGGCAGTCGAACAGCGGGAGGCTGGAGCCGGAGTTCGCGGCTGCCGCCATCTTGCGTCTCCCCCTCCCATTTGGCGGGCCCGAAGCACGCCGGGAAACTGGAAGACCGAAAAGGGAAAAGCGGCATCCCAGCAGCCTGTGCGTACGCACGCTCACGCACGCACGCGCGTACGGGGGGCGGTGCTTCTAGTGGGGACAGTGTAGGTTTTGGGATTTTTTTTTTTTCCACCGTTTGTGCGAGTTGGCCGTCTCTGGAAGTCTCCAGTGCATGGTTTTCCTTGGCCAGGAGGTATCAAAGGAAAAGCGACTTTGTAGGGAGGGGAGTCAGTCTCTCCCTGCGTCCTCCTGCAAACGCTTCTGGGCTCTAAAATCTTGGGACTAAGCCGGGCGCGATGGCTCACGCCTGTAATCCCAGCACTTTCGGAGGCTGAGGCGGGCGGATCACTCGAGGTCAGGGGTTCGAGACCAGTCTTGCCAACATGGTGAAACCCTGTCTCTACTAAAAATACAAAAATTAACCGAGCATAGTGGCACATGCCTGTAATCCCAGCTACTTGGGAGACTGAGGCAGGAGAATCGCTTGCACCCGGGAGGCGGAGGTTGCAGTGAGCCGAGATCGCGCCATTGTACTCCAGCCAGGGCAACAGAGCGAGACTCCGTCTCAAAAAAAAAAAAAAAGAAAAAAAGAGAAGGAAAAAATCTGGGGACTGCATCCTCCTCCAACGTTTAGGTTAAGACCGTCAGCCTTTTGCCCTCAAAGCAGAGAAGCTAAAGGGCAAAACTTGGAGACTGGAGTGATTATTGTTTCTACTTATCCAGTCCTTCTCCAAAAAGTGGCACTTTACTCACTTTTTTCCTAATCCACGTCTAGGCCTGTAGATTATCAGGGAATCTGCATTAGGGGTCACCTGGTCTGTTTATGAAAACTCTGTACAAGCTGGAGCCAGGAGCAGGTCCAGTCAGAAAGCAGGGGTCCAAATCATCACTGTGCTTGGCTCAAATGGTTAATTTTTTAAAAAAGGATTTTTTGCTTTTGGTTATAGTGCAAGGAAGCATTAGGATTGCTGGCTTGCCCTAGATCACCAGATGACTGAAAGAGACCATTAGCAGGGCCTCTGGTTGTAATGGCATTGTCTGTTGAGCACTTACCTTGGCAAGTATGTATTTTATATGGATCATCTCATTTAATCCTGACAAGGCTCTTGAGTTAGGTATTATTATAATTCCAGAGGAGAGGCTCAGAGAGATTGAGTTGCCCAGCCTCACCCTAGAACAAGTGGTGAGTGGGATAAAAAAACCTAAACCTGTATGATGCCAAAGGCCATGCTCATGAATCACTATTCTCTCTCACACTTTGATGTTGGTATAATTATGTCTATTATTAGCATGCAACTGATGCCCCTCTTCTTCACTTTTGTAGACGCCTTGGGAGGATTATCTGACTGGTTTTTCCTTTTTTAAATAAATCAATTGCTAAGTTCCTGTCATCCAGAAAGAGGCACTGCTCAGCAAGTTAAGGAATCTATGATGAAAGTAGTTCTTTTCTTGCTTCCATGCCACTGGTTCTGTAGAAAATCAGCCTATTCAAAAGATTTTTTGCCCTTGATGAAGTCTCCAGCCCTCAAAATGTAACTGCAATATAACTTAGAAGGAGCAAGATGATCCAAAAAGTAACAGCAATATAACATTAACTTGGATTTGAAGATGATCAACTCTTAGGTAGATTGGAGAAACCCCTTTTCCTCTGGCCTTTAAAGCACGATAAACTTATCCAGCAAGGATGGTGACTAATCAGATCACTTATCAAATAGCCTGTTAATATCCTCCTTTTCAGCCTTGTGATTCCAAAGTAAGACTAGGCTGACTGGAAAAATTCAAATTCTAAACTTAGTTTCAAGAAAACAGAAATAATCCTATGTCCCCCTCTTTTGAATACAGGGCATGATTTTTGAGAAGGAATTAGTCCCAAAAGCTTTTGAGTCTAACAGAAAAGAACAAGATACTTTCATCTACAGAAATCGTGTGAGCCTTTTGAGGTTCTATGCTCCTTTTAGGCCTAACATGGTATTGAAGCCATTCCTAGTTAGCAGTGACCTGATAGCATCTTATGGCAACTTTGTCTTTCAACTTCTCAGCTTGTGTGATCCTTCTATTGCTGACTATAGACCCAGGAAACCTAAAAGCTACATCTTACCTTTCTAATTCTTTACTCCTTGGCCATGTTCTGTGTCTAGCACAGTAGATATTCACACATGGCACCTTATGCTTACCTAGGCCCTCATAAAGCAAAATGCTCTTTGTTTGGGCACCAATGATGTCAGTATAGACCAGCAAACTAGAGGACAGCAATCTAGGTCCTTAACCTTTTAAAATAGACTGACGCACTAGCTGCCTTTGGATTTTGGTATCTCAATAGAGATTAGTATCTTGGCCTTTGATAGATTTCCTTAGAATAAGATCTAAAGACATTAGGAGCATATTGAGGTCAGAAAAATTTTTAAAATTTTTTGATTATTATGTTTTGAGATGGAATCTTACTCTGTCACCTAGGCTGGAGGGCAGTGGCAGGATTTCAGCTCACTGCAACCTCCACCCCCCAGGTCTAAGTAATTCTCCTGTCTCACCTTCCCAAGTAGCTGGGATTATAGGCATGTGCCACCACACACCTGGGGTTGCACCATGTTGATGAGGCTGGTCTCGAACTCCCAACTTCAGGTGATCCACCTGCCTCAGCTTCCCAAAGTGCTGGGATTACAGGTGTGAGGTACCATGCCCTGCCAGAAAACTTTTTTTTTTTTTTTTTTGGAGGACGGAGTCTTGCTCTGTCTCCCAGCTGGAGTGCAGTGGCCGGATCTCAGCTCACTGCAAGCTCCGCCTCCGGGTTTAGGCCATTCTCCTGCCTCAGCCTCCCGAGTAGCTGGGACTACAGGCGCCGCCACCTCGCCCCGGCTAGTTTTTGTATTTTTTGGTAGAGACGGGGTTTATCGGGTAGCCCAGGATCCGTCGTCGCGATCTTTCGCGCTGGACCTGGCATGATCCGCCCGTCTCGGCCTCCCAAAGTGCTGGGATTACAGGCTTGAGCCACTGCGCCCAGCCCAGAAAACTTTTTAAAACCTTTTTTTTTTCTGAGATGGAGTCTTGCTTTCATCTCCCAGGCTGGAGTGCGATGGTGTGATCTCAGCTCAATGCAACCTCCGCCTCCCAGGTTCAGGCGATTCTCCTGCCTCAGCCTCCTGAGTAGCTGGGATTACAGGGACACACCACCACACCTAATTTTTGTATTCTTATTTATTTTTTTATTATTTTTTTCTTTTTGAGATGGAGTTTCGCTCTTGTTGCCCAGGCTGGAGTGCAATGGCACAAACTTGGCTCACTGCAACCTCCACCTCTCGGGTTTAAGCGATTCTCCTGCCTCAGCCTCCCGAGAAGCTGGGATTACAGGTGCCTGCTACCATGCCCAGCTAATTTTTGTATTTTTAGTAGAGACGGGGTTTCACCATGTTGGCCAGGTTGGTCTTGAACTCCTGACCTCAGGTGATCCATCCACCTCGGCCTCCCAAAGTGCTGGGATTATGCTGGGATTATAGGCACGAACCACCAAACCTGGCCTAGTTTTTGTATTGTTAGTAGAGACAGGGTTTCACCACATTGGCCAGGCTGGTCTCGAACTCCTGACCTCAGGTGATCCACCTGCCTCAGTCTCCCCAAGTGCTGGGATTACAGGCATGAGTCACTGTGCCCGGCCCTGACTATGCTTTGAAAAGTAGGGAAGCAGCAGGTGATTCCCAGCCTTAGGGAACAGGATGGACTGAGATCTGAGTTGGGCTCTGGTCTGCAATTAGTGACCAAAAGCAAAAGCTGCATTCCCATGACTGAGGACAGTTTCTGAATAGAAAAAAAATATTGGAATAGAGGTGGCTCAGAATGTTTTACTTTGCATAGACTGAACGGTAATTTCATTTTGATATTTTGCACTGCAGTGGGTGAACACTCCCATCCTTATCCCTTAGCAAAACGAACACGCACACGCACGCGCGCACACACACACACGAGCGTGCACGCGCACACACACGCTCCCCTGGGAGTATCTATCTAGCATTTAGCAAGCTGTCATTCTGGAACATTCCCAGATTAAGTAGCCACAGTCACATTTCTACTTTACCTTATACCTTATACAGTACCATAGTTTTTTTTTCTTTTTTTTGTTTGAGACAGAGTCTTGCTGTTGCCCAGGCTGGAGTGCAGTGGTGCGATCGTGGCTCAATGCAACCTCCACCTCCCAGGTTCAAGCAAAGCTCATGCCTCAGCCTCCCAAGTAGCTGAGATTACAGGCGTGCGCCACCATGCCTGGCTAATTTTTGTAATTTTAGTAGAGGCAGAGTTTCACCATGTTGTCCAGGCTGGTCTTGAACTCCTGGCCTCAAGTGATCCACCCACCGAACCTCCCAAAGTGCTGGGATTACAGCCGTGAGCCACTGCACCCAGCCCATAGTTTTATTAATAATTCATTGGAAGAGAGAATGCTAGATCTACTCAGTACTCCTGGGATATTCCATAAAAGAAGTAGAAAAGGGGTGAGAAAATGAAAGGAAGACAGAGGCAAAAATACAATTTGTATGTTCACACTAAACTGCCTTGGGTCCTTATAATCAGATACTTTTGTAGCTGGAAAAGAGCTACCGAGAAAACTTGGGGCCTAAAGGTTAAGTTACTTTTTCTTTTTTTCTTTCTTTTTTTTCTCCCCTGAGATGGAGTCTTGCTTTGTTGGCCAGAGCTGGAGTTCAATGGCACGATCTTGGCTCACTGCAAGCTCTGCCTCCTGGGTTCACGCCATTCTCCTGCCTCAGCCTCCCGAGTAGCTGGGACTACAGGTGCCCGCCACCACGCCCAGCTAATTTTTTAATATTTTTAGTAGAGATGGGGTTTCACCGTGTTAGCCAGAGATGGTCTTGATCTCCTGACCTTGTGATCCACCCGCCTTGGCCTCCCAAGGTGCTGGGATTACAGGCGTGAGCCACTGCACCCGGCTGTGAATCTTTTTTTTTTAAATATAGAGCACTTTGGCCAGGCGCCAGTGGCTCACGCCTGTAACTGCAGCACTTTGGGAGGCCGAGGTTGGCGGATCATTTGAGGTCAGGAGTTCCA